TGTTAGAAAATTGGAAACAACATGTGATCAAAAATGGGATAAAATGTTCAGCGTAATTTAGTGAAATTTTTGTGAATAAAAGGAAGGCAATGAAATAAATGAAAGAATTGAAGTAGGAAGAAATGGGAACATTTTAATGATACAATGATTTAAAATACAAGTGATGTGAAGTTGGGGGAAATAACTATGGAAAGCTTTAAGTGTTCCCATAAAAGTATGATATTCAATCGAAAAGTAATGTGTAAAATGTTTAAGATTCAAATGAATATTAATATTGATAGATTTGAATTGGTATGGATTGTTGTTTTAATTATATTACATATATACAATTTTTTCTTTCTTTAAAATATAATGCGTAACTTTAGAATGTACTAAACAGAATCCCAATGGAAGCTATGTACTATACTAAGTGTTATAAATTTAGGGGAAGGAGATAAAGGCGTCATACTCCAATTAGTGTACAGGAGAAATTTTGTATAAAGAGAAAAGATAGATAGCTAGAAACAGAACAGACAAAGAATAATAAGCATAATGATCTGAACTGAGATGAGATAAATAAAATAAAACTAAGAAAGTTCAAAACAGGGGAAAAGCTACATAGAAAACGTAAAATGGTAATAAGATATGGAATGGTATATAAAATGAACATGAATTTAAATTTGTGTCTGTATGAAGAGATATAACCCAGGATCAAGCAGCTTTCAGAAAAGATGCTTTATGTTTTTACGTTTTATGTTTTGTTTGTTTGTGTATTGTCTTTGAAAATTAATAAAATTTGTTTAAAAAAAAAGTATATAGTAGGGGTCTACATCTATATAGTAGGGGTGTTCAAACTTTTTGCTTGCCTGGGCAGCATTGAGTGTACAGAAATTATCTTGAGCTGCATATGAAATACATAATTAATCTATACAAATCACATTAACATTTTACAAATGTGGGGCCTCATTACTAGCTGTCCAGCCATATGCAGCGAATTAGCCATATGCAGGTTGGATACACTTGATCTAGAGTTCTTAATAGGTAGCGAAACAAGTTCCAGCACTTGAACAAGGCCAATGGTGAGTGGCAAGGGCAGTAGTAAAGAAGCAATATCTGGAACATCTGAGGTTTTCCATTTCTATAACAGGCCATCATTAAAAGGATACATCAATACAGGTAGTCCGCGTCTTACAACAGTTCATTTAGTGACCATTCAAAGTTACAACAGCATTGAAAAAAGTGACTTGCAACATCCCCATGGGTCACATGATCAAAGTTAAGATGCTTGGCAAAACTGGTTCATATTTATGACATTTACAGTATCCTGGGGTCATGCGATCAGCTTTTTGCGATCTTCTGACAAGCAAACTCAGGGGAGAATCCAGATTCACTTAACAACGTTACTAACTTAACTAAGTCAATGATTCACTTAACAATGGTGGCAAGAAAAATTGTAAAATGGGGCAAACTCACTTAAAAATGTGCCACTTAGCAACTTACATTTTGGGCTCCATTGTCATCGTAACTCGAGGACTACCTGTATAGGCAATACTGATTTCTAATGTTATGTGCAGCATGTAAACAGCACAATCTTTTGCAAGCTTCATGAGACCATATAACAGAAGAATCCAATGTGCCACAATTATTTGGCAGAAAAATCAGGGCAGGGTATTTTAGCTTAATAGTAGTTATTATTGATTAGTAATCAAGAATTTACTAGAAAGTTGGAACTTCTGGTTTGCAGGGCTTCGGCGGCAGGCAGGAATCCCCGATCGTGCGCGGTTTCTGCCTGGACTCGCCGCTGGAGTGCCCCGAACCGTCTGGCTTCGGGGCTAAGCCACCCCGTAGAGGTGGTGAAGAGGGGGGAGATTGCCAGCAGGGTTGAGGAAAGCCGCATCTTTCCTCCTCAGCTGGCTAAACTCCCTTTCCCGAAGGCGATAAGAGCGGCGGTCAGAAATGGCCGCCTCAAAGAAGCACTCAACCGGAAAAGAAAGTGTGGGAGGAAGATAAGAAGTGAAAGTTTTGGCTGACCGGGATAAAAAGCAACAACTAAGGTACCCTGGAATTTAAATTTTATAAAAGATAACATCACTCTCAAAGAAGTGTCGGAAGCAGCAAAAGAAAGTGAAAAGGGAAAGTTTTTTCTTCTTCACTCTCCTTCCTTGCATTGACAACGAACAGAGCTGAATACGAAATCGGAAAAATCCGCTTTGGCAACAATAGGCAATTAAGCTGAAAATAACATTTGCCAAAGGGACAATAAAGATTTCTGGACATTAAAAAATCCTTTTTTTTTTTTTTTGTTAGAAGCAGGAAGGGAGAGGAAAAGAATAAGGGCAAGATTTGGAAGGAGGAGACTGCCTGCAATTTAAAAGAATCTAAAGTTAAATTTCAATAAGACTTCTAAAGGATACATTTTAACCGGAACTTTATAACTAAATAGTAACCCCATGAAGAGAAAGTGAAAAAAGAAGAAAGTGTAAAAAGAAACAGCTTGTGTGTATTTGGATTGCTTGGTGACTTTGGGATTTTGGGAAATTATATTTGAATGACTAAAAACAATTGGGTGGTTGTTTAAAAAATTCTAAAATGGCATCACCTTTCGATGAACTGAAAATGGAATTTAAAAAATATAAAGAAGCGGCACAAGAAGGGAATGGCTCCTTTGGCTCTGTTTTTCAATTCTTAGAAATGGCGATCTGCATCTACATGAAACAGCAAGAAAAGACTGAGCAACAAGAAGATTGGGACAAAGAAGAAGCCATCTTTAATGAACAAGTAACTCTATCTCGGGAAGAAAGGGGAAAGAGGGGAAAGAGAATGGAGAATTTAAGACTTAAAAAAACAACCAAAAAAGGGAAAAATAATGTGAAAAGTGGATATAATGTTGGAAAGCAACAGAAGAGGGGAATACAGAAGAGGGAAATGGAGGTGGAGAGACAAGGGGGTAAAAAGGGGAGAGAGAAGAAGAAAGGCAAGAAGGAAGGGAAGAGAAGTTGTAAAGGTTTGGAGCAAGATATAAAGAAACAGGGCTCATTCAGAGATAATGGATGAAAATTTAATTGAAAAAGGGATTCTGTAAAGGTACATAAGATTGTATTGTTATATTTGTAATAGAAATAATGTTAGAAAATTGGAAAAAACATATGATTAAAAAGTGGGATAAAATACTCAGTGTAATTTAGTGAAACTTTTGTGAACAAAATAAATGAAATAAAAGAGACAATTGAATTAGGAAGGAACGGGAACATTTTAATTACTTAATGCTTTATAAAATATAAGTGAAGTGGTGGGGAATTAACTATGGAAAGTTTATAAGTGTTCCCGTAGAAGTATGATACTTATTTGAAAAGTAATGTGTAAAATGTTAAGATTTAAATGAACATTAATATTAATGATAGAATTGAATTGGTATGGATTGTTGTTTTAATAATATTATATATTTATAATTTTTTCTTCTTTTAAAATACAATGTGTAGTTTTAGAATGTACCAAGCAGAATCCGAACAGAAGTTATGTATTATATTAAGTGTAATTTTAGGAGAAAGATATAAAGGCGTCATACTCCAATCAGTGATTACAGGAGAAATTTTGTTTAATGAGAAAAGATAGTAGATAGTGGAAACAGTACAGACAAAGAATATAAGTACAATGATTTGAATTGAGATGAAATAAATAAAATAAAATTAAGAAAGTTAAAAGAGGGGAGAAGCTATATAGAAAATGTAGAATAGTAATAAGATATGGAATGGAATATAAAAATGAGCATGGATTTGAATTTGAGTCTGTACGAAGAGATGTAACCCAGGATCATGCTGCTTTCAAAAAAGATGTTTTGTTTTGTTTGTTTGTTTATTTTTAAAAAACCAATATTTTTTTTTTTAAAAAAAGAATTTACTAGAAAGTTGAGGATAACTTCCAAATGTTCTCAGAACTGTAACCTACCACTCAGAATCTACCAATACCATAATTTTGTTTTACAAAAATAGCTCTCATCACCATGTCTTAAAAAGGGTATTATATCCTTAGAAAGGTGCAGAAATGATTGTGGTCCAGAATATTTTCCTTTGTCACACACTTACAGTGGACTATTGATGGATTGTATTGCTACGCTGTTATTTTTGTAAAACAACAAAGCTAGAGGGAGGGACAAACTGTAAAATAATGTACAATGCAAAGGAGAAGGATATTAATTTCTTTTCTCTCTGCTAGAACACTAGATTCATCCAAGGAATTTAAGAAGTGGAAAATTTAAAACAGACAGAAGGAAAGATTTCTTCCTACAAAGCATTGTTGAAGAACAGAATTGCTGAAACCAAATGGCTGCCAGATATGTGTCACAGGTAATTCACTATCTGGAATCTCACAGAAAGCACTAGACTTGCCCCAAAACTAGGCTTGACAAACTAGAGCCACAGTCAAATTACTGCTGACAATCTAGGCCTGGAAAGGCCAGGACTACAGTCAACTTAATTCTCTTTTACTTTCAGAGCTAACTATGAATCAATCTACTTTTATTCTGACTTGATCACCAATTATATTTAGTAGCTTAATCTGGAACAAAATTCTAATATTCACATTGTTGAAGACATAATACTCACTAAAGTTACTACTTTGAAACTGCATAGTGTTAGTAATGGAGAAAGAAGAAAAGAGATGAATATTTCCTATGACTAGGTGATTAGAACAGTAAAACTACATTTAGGATTAGCAATTTGACACTTTAAATCCCATATGAAATACTCAATGGAAGACATTGACTAATTTCACACTTGCACTAAACAGTAACAGAATTGCTCTCGTTTTGAGTAAGTTGTATGAATCCTGAACTCTATTACAGTGATACATAAACCATGTTTTATACTGAAAGTATTATGTATGAATTCAGCCACTGTGGTTTATTTAATCAATACTTAGATCTTTACATCAATATAACAATATCAACACTGCTTTAAACAAGACAAAGGGTAACTGTCTAATATGGAATAGGACATATACATCTAGAGGGGAAAAGTCCATACCTTCCATTTTCGGCTAAAATTGCACCTTCATCCTTCAGGTGTTTACTTTGGGCTACGCAATCTTCCAGAAGAAGCCCCTTTTTCCTTTTGGCCTCCTGAAGCCAATCAACTTCACCATTATCAACCAGGCCCTGTTCATCAGCAGCTTGAGCTTCAAATTGCTGGGATGTTACCTTAGATACCTTCTCACCAATCTTTCTCTTCCATCCAAAGGAAGCCATTCCAGAAAACTGAGAAGAATGCACATTTAATTATTGGTATAATTTTCATCTATATGTGAACACATCTATTTCAATTTATCACATCAATTTACATAGATAATCCATGTTATGTAAGCAATCTAGCCTAAGCAACAAATCCATTTGCTTCAAAAAAAGCGCCTTAATTTCTGCTGATAAAATCAGCTTACAATTTATCATTTTGCTACCTACAGGTGTTCAAATGAATTAAAAGCAAAATCACAGATGTTGGCTGGGGAATTCTGGAAGTTGGGAGTCCATAGATCTTAAAGTTCCAGAAGTTGGCTTAAATCATAAAATGCTATCCTTTAAGTTCATGGACGTTTATATTATTTTTAAAGTACCTTTCAAGCAAAGCTTAGGCATATATCATCTGCTTATTTATACCCAAGAGGATTCAGACAATCAAGATACAAGGGCTAATTTCAGCATTCCCACCCTTCCGGTTTCCTACATTTCCAAGTACCTGAAGTGCTATCAATCTGAAATAATGTCTTCCAGGACTGGTCTGACCATAGGCAGAAGCTTTGCCATGGCTGGAACCATGATAGGCATTTTGCCCCCCTCCCAGAATGTCTTCCGGTGGGACTTAAAAAGTCTTGGTGCAAAGGAGACATCAAGGTTGTTTTTTAAATATCCCAATCCACCCTTTACAGAATGAAAATGCAAAAAAGGTGAAATAAATGTCTTTTATTTGGAAAAACTTAGGAGAGAAAAGGTCAGAATCCGGTGGAAAGAAGGGTAGCATGATTACCTGGAGGCTCCCCTCTCCAGTGGTGTCTTTCTAGCGCCGTCGTTCGTAGGATAACCACCAACCGGAAGTGGCAAACCCGGAAATAGCGGCGCTCTGCGCAATGTCACAAACTCTATCTTCAATTTCCGCTTTTGGGGAGAGGGCCGCGAAGGTCTGCTCTAACGTCCAGGAGAAAAGGAGTGGAGGGTTGAGGAGCACCGTGAAAGGAAAAATACGTTCTGTGTACCGACCATGAGACTATTCTTTATTATGTTCATAAAATTAATGGTGAAGGAATTCCAGAGCTCCACGGCGAGCCAAGTCCTAGGATTGCACCGCAGAGCCTACTGGGTATTGTAGTATGTTGTGTGATCACGTGACCAACATGGATTGCTACTATTGGCTAGCATTAGAATTTTAACCGTCCCACTTGCGAATAATGGTCCCTTTATGGACTTCAACTCCCAGAATTCAATTCCCTGAGCAATGCTTGCTTAGGAATTCTGGGAGTTGAAGTCCACAAATGATAAGAGGGCCATCGTTCCCCATCCTTGTTTGACTGGGTTAAGAAGATCCTCTCCACCCAATCCTCAGACTGGAAGAGACAATATGAAATGTATCGCCCAGGGGTCGTCAAACTTGACAGTTTTAAGACTTGTGGATTTCAACTCCCAGAATTCCTTCTCTAATCATGTTAGCTCAGGAATTCTGGGAGTTGAAGTCCACAAGTCTTAAGCTTGCCAAGTTTGAAGACCCGTTTGCCAATCCATTCTTCCTCTATTTTTCATTATCTCAGACAGTGGCGCTGTCCTCATTATATGCAAGGTAAACAAATGGTGATTTTTTTTGGCTTTGCTGATCTCCCTTTTCATGTCACTTGCTGATGGGGGAAGTGTATCTGTCTAAGTGTTGTAGCAATTCCTCAAACATGAACCTTGAAATTCAGTAAGATGGATACCTTGTTTATACCTTGATAAACTATGAACACCTGAACTCCTAAAGCAGAGGTCTCCAAACTTGGCAACTTTAAGACTTGTGGACTTCCAACTCCCAAAGTCCACAAGTCTTAAAGTTGCCAAGTTTGGGGGGCCCTGTGATCTAAAGAATAGTACTTTGAACTCTCTTTTTAAAGCAATGACCAACCATGGCAACTTTTAAGACTTGTGGGCTTTAGTATGGCTGGCTAGGGAATTATGGGAGTTAAAGTCTACAGCTCCTAAAGTTACCAAGGTTAGACACGGTTTTAAAGCAAGCTTGATTCCAGGTAATTTCAGACAAATTTGGGTAATTTTCTTGACAGCAATAAGGAGGTGGTTTGTCTTTGTCTTCCTCTATTATGCTTTTTTTTATACCAACAGTTAAAACCATAGCTGTAGGATGTGGGGATGATCTCCCATACAATTATTAATTATTAATTCAATCCTACCCTGGATCAGCCAATACAGATTTTTTTAAAAAAAAAAAAACCTGAATGATGAAACTATTGAGTTGTTTTCCCTCATTTCTCACCAGATCAGGACTGTAGTGGCAACATAGTTTTGTAGTCTGACACCCATTTGGGGGGAGGATACAGTAGAATGCATATTCCACATAAAAAGGAACTAAGATTGTACTTATGGTTTATTAATTTTGCTAACCTAACAATATCAGGCTGTATTCAATAGGTGCCAATCAGAGGAAATTATACTGGGCTTGATCGGGAATAGGGAATCTGGTCTGTCCCTTCCACTTCTCACATTACTATACCCATAAACCAAGGGTCTTCAAACTTGGCAAGTTTAAGACTTGTGGACTTCAGCTCCCAGAATTCCCAAGCTAACATGACTGGAAGAGGAATTCTGGGAGTTGAAGTCCACAAGTCTTAAAGCTGTCAAGTTTGAAGACCCCTGCCATAAACTATTAGGGCTGAGGGGAGTAACAGAATATCAGGCTAGAGCCTGGACCACAAGGACTGACAATGATACCTACACCCCTGGTTTATCACTATTCTACACTACAAGGGTATTTCATGTGCACTTATTTATAACTTACTCACCAAAGCCCCTAAGCCTTGGTGAATGATTAGCAGTGGTAATAATATAATTAATGAATTCCTGAATTTCTAGGAAGCCTGGGATTCTTCAGAAAGACATCTTGAAAGCATTGTTATCCTCGGCTCTCTAGGGGGTGGTCAGAGATTAGGTTCTTTTCTTCAACTTTTGCTGAACTACTACTCCCACCAATAACTGGAGGATCAGAAGTTGCTATTAATCCAATGTCAAAATGTATTTCTCCCACTGTAGTAAACCTCCATCAATGCTGAGAAAGTCCCCAACAATTAAGAAGAACTGACAGATGAATTAAGGAAGCTAAGAAACGGTACCATGAAATTTCAAGATTTACTTGCATACAGTTTAATGTTTGTTAAAAGTAACAGGTCATATACAGCTATCACAAGCAATTTCATTCAATATTGATCCTCCCCCCCAAAGAGAGAGAGAGAGAGAGAGAGAGAGAATATGCAATAAAAGTAGGCACATATTGTTTTTGAGAAATGGTGATCATCCATTTCATAAGCAATACAATGGTAAAAATCAATTGGCAAAATTATCTCAAAGTTTATACTGATTGAAAAGTTAAAAATGACAAAACATGTGAAAGTCAGCCTTTGGAAAGATTGCACTATGAAGATGGATGGGATTTTTACTTTTTACCAATGTTAAGAATTTACATTGCACAAGGTTTCCACTTCCTATCTTTACTACACTGCCCCTCCCCCTTTCAGCAATCATTGATGAAGTGTTTGCCATAAAAAGATCATCTGAAGGGCTTTTCCACTGGAAGGAGCCCAAAGGAACAATATTTGAGTAGGCTGCTTAGTCAAGCTATACACTTCTGTTGTTTTTCATTTTTGAAAACAGATTCTTTTTCTTCATAGTTCCCATCATGGTCAGTTCTGCAAAGCAGCTCATATTTTATGATCAACAGCCCCGACCTTCCTGTAATGCTAAGAAGTGCCAGCAAATAACCCTTCACTATAGGACCACACAAGGCCTGAATTAAAAGGGGGGGGAGGGGGAGTAATTTCAACATCGATATTTTACTCTAACTCTAAAAATCGTTACAAAACATTGATTCATATATTTTTGCTTGAATACATCCAAGATATTCTTCTGCCCAAGTTAACAAGAAATTAAAAAGGGAGCATTGAAATAGCTTTTAAAGAAAAATTACAAAATTCTGTATTTAAGAATAGACAGCTGTACTCTTTTGCTATGAACTTTGGCCCTCATATTCCAAAGATGTTAAGGCCTGATAGTGTGACACCACCCCAACACTCAATAAAACTTATATACATTTAAAAAATTAAAAGTTTTACATGATAACATTTCTTAACATAGACACTGAATATAAAATCAAGCTGATGAGGCTAACAGATATCTTCCATTCATTTCAGTTGGATTTGAGCAGGAAACATACCAAAGCTACAGTTAAATATGCAGACAGATTTAAAAATATGGAACCCCAAAGTCAACACAATTTTACTTCTGGTTGGACTTACTTTTGGATTCACTGAAACAGAGAAACATGACACTTATGGTTTACACACACTTATTTTTAGGACACCCCCCCCCAAATTTAAGATTGTAGCTTGCCAAAAACATTTTGAACTATGAAGGAAAAAAAGGTCATTTACGCCATTTGTCAAGTTCAATATTAACAATTCCAAATTAACACAGCATAAATAGTAATAATAATAACAAAAAATCACAGTAATTGTGAAGATGCAGCAAAGCAAGATGTAACAAGTAGTTTTATTTGCTTGTTGTAAATTAAGGATTACTACTTGGTCCCCAAGACAACCATCTCTTTTTATATATCACAGCAACACTATTTAGCTACTGACTCCTTTTACACACACACATATACACACCCTGCAGCCCTTTTCTTCCCACACACTTTATCTCTTTTGGAGTACAAGTCACGTTCTGTAATAAAATCGCTGTTTAAATTCTGGGAAGTAATGAAATATGAAACCACATTCATATAGTGTTCGCCTCTACAAAGGCCAGCCCATGGCAAAAGCCCATGGCTATAGATTTGAGGGCCTCCTGACCATAGCACAAATTTTGAAGTCCAATGTCTATTTAATTAAACTATTAAAACAATGCAGCTCCAGAATTCATGCATTTATAGACCAAACCAGGCTTCTTCCGTGCATCTTGAGTTGCTGGTACAAACTCACTAGATACACATTATTGTATTCAAACCCAAGCATCTCTTTTATCGGCTGTTCTTAAATTCTTTGCTGGCACAATTCAGTTGGGTACCTCTGCTATACATTCCCATCAAAGTAAAAGACTTTACAGGATGAAGTCAAGCTAGTGTCTCCTTGAGAATGGCTGGTGTAGTTTTTATTACCCTGCTTTGCATGGATTGGAGGCTGTTGATAATTGAAATCATACTGCAAAACATTCCAAAGGCACTACATTAAGCAAGAGAAATCTGTTCTCTGGCATCTGCGCCTCTTATAAGATGGCTCACACACTGCTTTGTCATTATTTGCTTAACCATGGTTTGTTGAATAAGCCACAATTAGCTGGCCATACATATCATAATCCATGTCTGCAGAATCAGTCTGTTAAATAAGCTACAATTAACATAGCTTTACAGTGTAACAGCTGGGATCACACAACATGCTAAGCCAGGCAGAAGCTGTTATGCCATAGCATGATATATGAACCTGTCTCATTAATAAAGATGTATTAATGGATTTGTTTTTCTTGATCATATGCATATCAAATCAGACTTAAGGATTTGCCTGTGTTCTGAAATTTTCACTTAGTGCATTTGCATTACTCATGACTAAAGTGTTGCATCTGTATCAAGCACAGATCAATTTCAGCCTCTTTTCTGTTTTTAAGATGAAAACTCTGATTGCTGCCTTATCTTAACTGTGGGCTTATTGGCAAGGAATAATATCCCAGGATTCCTATTTCTTCCATACCGTTAGCACAACCGATAACAAAACTAGGACCAATTTATATAGTACAGTAAGTCACATAAACTGATGATCTCAAGGGCTATTACTAAAAGATCCTTTACAGTGGATAAACAAACAGAATACTTGTAAACAATAAAAATAAGGGAAAAAAGTATAATATCTTGTTATAGCAGTTGTGGAAGCCAAGAGGAACAGAAAGCAAAACAAATTCATAAACAC